AGTCAACAGAAACTGGCACAACACATCAAAAAAATTTGCCAGGAAGGCAAAGCAGAGTTTCTTTCTCATCCAGTTGACTCAAGACATGCACACAAAGCAGGGTATAATATGCTTGCTGAGAATCTGATGGCATTTAATAGGATTGGTTGCTTGCGGCACACATTAAACATATCATCATTAGATAAAGGTGAGGGTGTTCAAGGAGACATTCTGTCATCGGAAAGCAAGGTGGCACGAATCTTGTAGACTGAAGTTTAACAAAATAAAACTTCAGTGGGCACAAAAGCGAAAACAACCCAGTGAAGATAATGCAGATGATCTAAGCAAGTTCACCAGTCAAAACACTCAAGAACAAACTTCTTGCATTGAAAAATACTTCTGTGATAAACCTGCAACTGGAGCTAAAGATACTTTGCACAGTGCATCAACCGCTCAGCTTGATGTTTGTGTGCAGCCGTGTGCCCTTAAACTGCAGAACAAACCACTACTTGCACAACGTCGTGCTGTAGACCTCATTGCACAAGATGCCAAGTATCACTCCGTGTGCTTAGTTTCTCTGTACAATAAAGCATGAGATCTTAAGACCTCTGAGGCATCTGATGCAGACAGTATCAACCACGGCATCGCATTTGCTGGACTTGTGCCCTATATTGAGGAGGCCTGCATGGACAATCTTGTTGCCCCAGTTTTCAAACTAAATGACTTAGTTAAGTTGTACACCACTAGACTGCAATCAGAACTGATGTGAGTATACGTATCCATTGTACAAAATGAAGAATAGATTACTTAATTACTTTTCAGAGATGGAAGCTCACAAACAAGGCCGTAAAGTGGTCTTGACTTACAATGACGATGTTGGATATGCGCTACGAAAAGCATGTGAGCATGATGCCAACAATGATGCTGTTCACCTTGCAAGGGCAGCAGCCATAGTTAGGAGATATATGTTCAAAATGCACACCACATTCAGTGGTTCATTTGACACTCAATGTCAGGAGGCATCAGTGCCAGTTTCCCTCTTGTCGTTAGTTTCAATGATATTGTATGGTCCAAACATACAAACACAATCAAGCTCCTCATTGGTGCCTCAGCCAGCACTCACCGCATCACAAATACTTATGCACAACAGTGCAGTAAGTCATAAGGATACAACTGCAAGTACAAGGCACACCAAAGAAAGAGAAACACCACTACCGGTCTACCTAGGTGTGATGTTCCATACAAAAATCCACAAGTGAGACCTTGTTGATACCCTCTTTGATCTGGACCTGTCTATATTGTATGACCGAGTGCTCGAAATCTCCACAGAGCTTGGTGACAAGATTTGCCATCAGTTTGATATCCCGGAAGCCGTCTGTCCTCTTCAACTCAAGGGCGGGCTCTTCAGTACTGCTGCAGCAGATAATATTGATAACAATCCCAGTTCCTCTAGTGCACACGATTCTTTCCATGGAACTGGAATATCAATGTTCCAACACCCAGATGCCAAGTTCAGTGGAGATCGCCGTTATGTTGTCACCAGTGACAATGACACTCGTGACAAGGGGACGGTTGTGCATTTACCTGAGTACTACACCAACGTGGCCCCTGTTGCTCTGCAAAAACGTCATCCATCCGTACCAAAGCTAGATGGACCCAACAAAGCAGTCTGCAAGCTCATTGATCGAGCCATGCAGAAGGAATTCAGGTACAGTACAAGAGTATTTTATTTGCAGGATGTTATACCGTATGAATCTTTGAATCACAACTTCACAATACTGATACTAAGGTATGTGCGTACATGTTTTACTGGGATTTGCAGGTAGCTGGAGTAGCTAAGACAGGTGATCACCACAAGCATGCAACAAGAGCACAAGACTCTTTGTTAGGCTGCATATCACGCCAGTCTTTAGCCAGCCAATAAAATACCAGAGAGCAATGTGGCACTCACCTCTCGGTTGCCCCTTTTCTATGAACAGGCCAAATATGTTGCCATGATTTGCAATTCCATGGATGAAGTGAAGAAAGCAGTGGATATTATGAATCCTGGGCAAGTGCCCATCATTACGTTGGATCAACCTCTGTATGTTTCAGCAAAAGAGATCCAGTGGAGTAGGCCAACAACTCACGGTGAGCTCCACTTCATTGTTATGTTTAGCTGGCTTGACATTGAAATGGCTTCTGTCAAAATACTTGGCAACCTTCTAGAGGGCAGTGGGTGGTCATCTGTACTCGTACAGGCTGGTTTTGCCTCGGCTGGAACAGCTGATTCATTTCTGAAGGCCTCCCATGTTACACGCACTCGACGTGCTCATCACGCCTGTGTCTACTTTTGCACAAGGCATTCGATGAGTACCGCAATGGCCTCGAAGATGGGCAGAATTCCATGTCATAGGAAGAATGGTGTTTCAACAAGGCTGAGACATGTCCCAATTTGCAGTTCTGGTACTTAATCCTACAGCTGCAGCTGGTGATGCTATCTTTGTGAGAGCAATACGTGAGGCAAATTTCCTTCTCTACATAGAAGCACTGACCAAGATCGTTCCTTGGTTCTTTGCTTTGGACCACATCCACGATGCCAAATGGATACCAGTCCACTTGCGTGAAATGGTTACTTTGAATGACACTCATCCTGACATCTGTGGCGAATTTTTCAAAGGAAACTTTGTGGTAAAGAAGACAACACATGCATTCTCCTCGATTGCCATAGACCAGACTCATGAGCAAAATAATGCATCCATGAAAGGTGATTGCGTTGCTGTAGGTCTGACAGAGAATCCTGCAGCTTTATGGCGCTGGATGATTTCTGGCCCTGAGATGGCCAGATTGATTGGGGAGTTTGAAGTTTCACTGAAGAGGGAGAAGAACACATGATTTCCGACATCATGAGCGAACAAAGCATGTACAGGTGGCATTTGCACAACATGTGAAATCACTCACTGGTGCCATAGAAGAGTTGGGAAAATCTTTTCAGTGATGATAGCAGTTACCTTCTGGTACTTGATAGCAAAGACCTTGCTAATCCAGCTGTTATATATACCCTGCAAAAGATCGAGAAACTTGGGCAAGACCAATGTGACACATGTGAAGGAGCAGCTGGTCAACCAAGGAAAACCAATTAAGAAGAACAACCTGCCTCTCTTCAGTTGTCCTCCCGTCCAAGAGAAAACAAAGGCACAACTACACATGACATCCTATAAGAGTGACTGCTCCCTTTTCTATAGACTGTATATTGCTTCACAGACATGGAATGGCGATTTGGATGAGTTCTTTAAAGCATGAAAACCAGGCTTGTCCACCAGCACTGTCACAAATGGGCAAATTGAGATCTGGGACAGAATAAGATTCAGTGAGTTGCTTGGAAGATGTTGTTTCTTCCCAGGAAACTTTACCCACTCCCACTGTCCAAGTCACCATACTTGGCGGTGCAGCAATCGTCAAGATGCTGCGGCCCGGTTCTTTAGAGACGATCAACGACTATGCAAAGCAAGTCTTTCTGCCATACATCACAAATCAGTTACAACATGTAAGATGAATAGATGCTGTGTGGGATGAGTACTTCCCTGATAGCTTGAAAAGAGACACATAAAGCAAAAGGGAAAAGGGTGTTCGCAGATGTGTGGATCCATCAAGTGCCATTCCTAGAAACTGGCAGGAGTTTCCTTGATTCCTAGAGACTAATATAGCAGATATTGACATCAACAAACAGCACACATCATTTAGACGTGGTGTGTACTCAGCCCCGAGACAAATCAGATCTTGCTCCATGCACACGAGGAGGCAGACACACGAATCATACTCCATCTAGCAAACACTGTTAAACAAGGGTACACGAAAGTATCAATACGTACAGTTGACACGGATGTGGTAGTTCTTGCTGTGACAGTAGCCCAGCGCCTAAATATAAATGAGTTATGGGTTGCCTTTGGTGTTGGACAGTGTTTCCAATATTTACCCGCTCACATAATGGCAAGAGAATTCACTGGGTGTGACACGGTGTCATATTTTGGAGGTAGAGGAAAGAACACTGCATGGAAAGTATGGAATGCATATGATGAAGTCTCTCAAGCATTTTGAGCCTTAGCTACAACCCCAGCTCCAGAGTCTGTAGATGTCTGGTTAAAGCCTTTGGAACGGTTCACGGTCTTGCTTTCTTGGTTTACGGTCTTGCTTTATGACCATACCAGCACTCAAGAGTGTGTCAACCATTAATGTAGATAAGGGTCCGGGGAAGTGTTGCGGCAACTGCTCGCTCAACCCCAGCCCATTCATTCCACTAGGTCTCTCCCCAACGTGGCTGTTAATATCAGATAGGAGTGGGGCAGCCTGCAAAGCCCTTCTCCACGGCCACACCCATCCAGCGTTGGGCCGTTATTGTTTGAACACACGCACCACATTGAGAACAAAGGGCTGCCCGTGAGCCCTGATCAACGACCATATACAACAAATACCAAGGTGGGTCACACCCAAACATGTAGATAATGCACAGAAAAACGGGGCAGAAAAGAAACACAAAAAAACACAGCATGCAAAGAATGAAATATGAAAATAAGCACTCTTACCAATATATAAGAAATCAAATCAATTCACAAACGTAAAAGGTTATGGAACTCGAAACTCTGAAAATGCCGTAAAGACACATCCGTAAATGATAGGCGCTGAAAAAAAAAGAAGGACGAACATGGTGGCGGGACCGCAGTGCATTGTGGAGGGTCAAGGGAAAAGAATGCATAATCAAGTCTTTTCTGCGAATTGTAATAGGCACATGGGAAATTTGCAGACGTAGGCTAGGCAGGGGTATGTGAACGCAGGAAACCCCTTATTTTATGGGGGAGAAAACGTACAATCGTATTTCCAAGAATTTCCTGTAGGAAATACGGCTAAATCATACTAGTTGGCAGGTCTGATGTGCCAGATGCATAACAGAAACACAAGCTTTTAAAGTGAATGAACTAAATTAGCCCTTCAGAGTAATGCTCAAGTTAGTATCTAATATACAATATTGGAAAAGTAAAATTTACTGAATTTCCAGGCATCCACATATGAAGCAACACTCCACTGTCAAACCCGATGGTGAATCCCTGAACCATCTGATTCGTTGCGCCTTTTGTGGATGAAACTTTACCATTTATTGCATAGAGTACACCTCCTAGGACAAAGCATAGACATAGAAAGAAAAATCAGAATTTACACACAAAAAAGTTGTCACATAAATCTTTCCTTGCTTGAAATTCTCAGAGGTTGGTGTAAGGTTTCCTTGCCTTCCGTCTCTGTTGACCAGGTTCAACTCCTGGCTGGGTCCACAGGTGCTTTGGGTTTTCATTCCCTACCTAATTCTGTTAGTTTTACCTAGAATATCCCTCTGGGATATCCCTACTCCAAATCTGTATCTGCTTCTCATTACCGTCCCAATACAGGCTTCTTCAGGTTAATGAGCTACAGCACCTAGGGCAATCATTGGGGTTATCACCAGAAATAATTAATATTAATAATAATAATGAAACTGATTTGGAATTAGGGGATAAACAGATCATGTCCTCCCATACAGATCAAACAACCTGGAGAAGCTCATCGAAATTCTAGGACAGTTACTAAATTACTTGGTACAGAATAACCAAACGTAAAAATCTTAATTATGGCCAAGGAAGAGTAGTATAGGAAGAGAGTTTCAGCTCAACTTTTCCCCTAAATACCTCTTTCGGGCCCTCTCCCACCTCAGAAAAAAATGAAAAAAAGGTTCTCACACTCATATAAAAATCTTTGTAGCATACTTTGGATCTCTGGGAGACTTGGTGGCTTGAGGGAAAAGAAAAAACCCAACCTCCAAAAGCGGAAAAAGTACCATCAGCTCTTACAGGTAGTGCAAGATAACGTCATACCCTTTACTGCCACTGGTGCAAATGGTAATGTGTTACAGAAAGATCTCATTGACACAATTCATGCTTTTACCCGTCCAGAAGCGATTGCAGAGGCAGACATCCAGAACGTCCGGCGATTTCAAGGTAACTACAGAAATTGGGAACTGAAGCCTAGTTTCTTTGCAGATGATTTGGTACACTTTTTCAATTTTTACAAATGTTACATCGAAAAGAAAGCATTGGGGGAATTTCGCGAGTTATGAATATACAAGTTGCAACCTGCAATCAAGGTTCAGTTTCAAGTAGAAAGGCCTGAAGTGGAAACCAAAGTTGGTGTTTTTATGTTTACAAGTAAAAATATCGGGGGGTTTGCCGAACGAGAGGTCAAAAACGCGTTGGGAAAAGTAAAGAGAAAAACAAATGGAAGATGTCAAAGCTCACACCAAATGAGGCTCTGGTGGGGTGTTTGATAAAGTTATCACATTTTTTATAAACGTTGTGCTCTATAATCCAGTTGGAGCGATAAGAGCTGCAAAGGGTATCTATAGTGACAACGTCAAAAATCAACTCAAAAGCAAACCAGATTATTAAATAAACAATGAAAGGACTTCAACGTATACAACAGCAGATGGTTTAAATTTTACATACACGTACGTAGACTTTCCCACCCCAATGTCACAGATTTCATGCATCGAAGCTCAAAACAACTTGGTGATCAACGTATTTGGTTACACCGCGAAGGACGGTGTGTTTATACTTTACACAACCAAAGCTGTAGGTGAGCCGATCAACTTACTTTATTTTTACCAAGGTTGAAAAGCCCATTATTGTTGGATTAAACATTTCTCTAGGTTGATGGGTGGGGTTAACAATTACACTGGTCAGAAAAATTTTTGCTTTAATTGTATGTGTCACTTTCAAAGTCAACAAAGACTAGACAATCACAAAGAAGACTGTCAAGGAATAGACGCAGCACCTTCCAAAGTCGTACTCCCTGAAAAAGGTGATCATATCCTCAAATTTGAAAACTACAAAAACAAACAAGACACTCCTTTTGTTATTTACGCAGATTTTGAATCTGTGTTAGAATCTCTCACACCCGAAGAAGCCAATACGATTAAAACCCAACATCATAAACCATGTGGTTCTCCTAACGTAGTCGTACAATGCGATGGTATATGTACGAGTTGCAAAACATACCGAGGGCAAGACACAGCCACTCATGTCATAAAATCGCTATCACCAGAAATGAAAACAATTAACGAAACGTTGGCTGATCCAAAGCCGCTTCTTTGGACGTTAGAATTAAAAAAACGCCACGACAAATGTTGGATCTGCAAAAAGTGTATATCTCCAACTAAGGAATCACAGTGTGAATGTCCTATCCCGCAAAGCCCAAAAACCGAATTCCAAAAAATAGACTTTAGTCTCATAAACGACTGTGACTACATCGGTATGAGTTGTGAGAAACCCATCGACAAGCTTAGAAAAGTTTGCAAACATTGTCACGTCACGGGGAAGTACAGGGGCCCAGCGCATGCAAACTGCAATCTCAAACTCCGAGTTATGCCTAAACAAATGCCCATTCCAGTCGTGTTGCACAACTTGGAAAAATATGACGCGCATTTGATTATGCGGGGTGCTCGCGCGTTCAACAGAAGTCAAATCAAAGTCATCGCTAAAAAGTCCGAAAACGATTTCTCGTTTTCTTTTGGTCAAATTAAATTTCTAGACTCGTTTCATTTTATGGCCACTTCACTAGATCAATTGGTCAAAAACTGCACCAGAGAGGATTTTAAGTTACTTTATGAAAGGTTTCCAAACAACACAGAGCTACTGCTAGACAAGGGTTTGAAGAAACCAGTCTGCCTCCTTGAGACACGTTTTATAGCTCATTGAAGCAGGAGTCCGTAATAAAAAAAGAATATGCATGAGCCCAAAATGTATTGACAACGTTTGAGTGTCAAACTCTTAGGGACTACCACGATCTCTATGTCGAAACAGATGCGTTGTTACTCACGTGTGTGTTTAAAAACTTTCAAAAGGTCTGCAAAATGAATTATGGCCTAGACCCTGCCAACGACTATACCTCGCTGGGTTTATCGTGGGATGCGATATTGAAACACTCTGTCGTCCAACTCGAGCTGTTGACAGACATTGATCAACACTTGTTCTTTGAACGGGCTAAACGCAGTGGCAACTCAAGCGTAGGAAACAAACTTTACGCAAAAGCTAATAACTCCGGTTTAAAAGACTATGATCCAGACAAACTAACGTCATACATCGTGTACCCTGACATGAATAATTTGTACGGTTGGGCTATGAGCCAGTATCTGCCTATTGGGAAATTTAAATGGGTCAAAGACTTGAATAAACTTAATGCTGAATACATTACAAAGCTTTCACCTTTCGCTACAAAACGTTACATGTTTGAAGTAACGATCGATTATCCGCAACACTTGCACGACCAACATAACGATTTTTCCCCTGGTACCCGAGAACATTCAGACCCCAAACGAATGGCTGTTGCACTACCAAAAACAACTACTTGAACAAAACGGAGAAAAAGTTGCATCCGTAGACAAGCTCGTAGCAATGCTTTCAACCAAACATAGATACGTCTTTCACTATCACACATTGCAAATATATCTCAAACTCGGTTTACAACTGAAGGTGGTTCATCGCGTGGTTTCTTTTGTGCAAGCGCCTAGGATGAAAAGCTACATCGACAAAAACACTGAGTTACGCAAATGAGCCAACTCTGATTTCCAAAAAGAATTTTTTAAAACTGATAACAACTCGATATTTGGCAAAACGATGGAAAACGTGAGAGATCAAATTAACGGACACTTGTTGAGAGACATACAAGATGCCCCACGATATAAACACTCTAAGCCTTACTACAAATCGAACACACCGTTTCCAGGGTGCGATCTCTCATTTGTCGAAATGCATCGCGTAATAACTAAGTTGCACATACCAATCTAGTGTGGCGTAAGCGAGCTAGATCTGTCTAACACGTTATTGTATGATTTTTATAACAATACGTTAAAATAAGATTTTGGAGACGATGTCCGTTAATTGTATACCAACACCGTCAGCTTGCTCGCTCAGATTCAAACAGACAACTTACACGGTTACCTAAACCAAAAACGTGACGTATTAGACTTTTCAAACTACATGTACCCAACAATCACACGCTTTACGATCCTAAAAACAAAAAAGTCATTCGCAAGATGAAAGACGAATTTGGTGGAAAGGTCATTTCTGAAGTCATTTGCTTACGTCCAAAAATGAATTCAGTCTTACTCGAAGACAACGTCAATCAAAAAAAGCCACAGGGGTAACTAAAGTTGTGACTAAGAAACAACTATGACATGAAGCTTATAAAAACATTGCTGTGTGATTGCAAGCGGGTTTATACAAGCAACATTACGTTAGGTCGCAGAAAACTATGATTTTTACGATATGTCAAAACAAACTGAGCTTGTTGAAGTTGGATACAAAGCGTTACATTTTGCCAAATGGCATCGATACATTAGCATTTGGCCATTATTGCATAGGCGGTAACTCGCATAGGCGTTGACATGAGTAGCTACCTAAAAGATAAATATGGTTTGTGGCTTGACTTTAGAAGTTAAGATGACAACTCGGCGCATGACTCGGGTCAACCGTTGGGAGCAGGAGGCAATATTTCAATCCAGATGAAGTGTGAAGCAGAAGCAGCCGGGCACCTGTTTATGTACGTTTTCTTGATTATGGATGCTAAGTCAATGGTGGAAGATGGAAATTCTAAAAGTCTAGTTTATAAAAAAAACATGAGTTTAAATATGTTTAAACAGCCACATTGTGCTCTTATAGTTGGACAGACTGGCAGCGGGAAAACCCAGTGGATTTGGAAAGTGAATACCAGTTCGTATTTGAAGCGATCGTAATCATATGTCCGACTTTGTTTAAGAATCAAACGTACTTGGCCCACCTGTGGGTGTACACCGACGAAAACGTGTAAAAAGAGAAACTCAACTTGAATGAAGCACTCGACTTGTATCAAAAAATTGTTTGACGATGTGAATACTTTGTTTATTATAAACGATTGTGCAGCTGATCAGCATATCAAGTATAAGAAAGAGTCGAGGAATAGCAGAACATGTATGTTGAGCAAAATGGCTTTTAGTTCAAGGCATTACTTGCATCCATGCTGGCTTTTAACGCAAAAGTATAACACTGTGTTGAAAGACTACAGAAGCAATACGGGGTGGGTTGCGATATTTCGTTGTGAGGATCAAAATTC